CGCCGCCGCCCCGCCGCCACCATGGAGGCCATCAAGAAGAAGATGCAGATGCTGAAACTGGACAAGGAGAACGCCATCGACCGCGCCGAGCAGGCGGAGGCCGACAAGAAGCAGGCGGAGGACCGCTGCAAGCAGGTGGGTGCGCACGGACCCCCCGGCATTGCCCGGGGACCCCCGACTTAAGGGTCTCCAGCCCCGGGGACCCCGTCCTGCTGGGTGTCCAGCCTGGGGACCCTCTGCTCTAGGGGTGTCCAGCCCCGGGGACCTGGTCCTGCTGGGTGTCCAGCCTGGGGACCCTCCACCGTAGGTGTGCCTAGCCCCAGTGACCTCCCTGCGCTGGGTGTCCAGCCTGTGGATCCCAGCTCGAGGGGTGCCCAGCCCTTGAGACCTCACCTCACTGGGTCCAGACCCACAGGGACCTCACCCTGCTGGGTGCCTGTACCTGGGGACCTCACCCTGCTGGCTGCCCATCCCTGGGGCCCTTACCCTGCTAGGTGCCTGTCCCCAGGGACCAGCACTCCAGCCTGTCGCCCCTGACCACTCACGTTGGTCCTGTCAAACATGCCTTATCTTAGCGGGACACCCCAGTCCCACCTCCCTATCCCTCTGCCAGGGAGACCCTTGGGGACAGCGTACTCCTACCCCAGCCACGCAGAGATGGGGACCTTCTTGGTGCCCCCCAGAGCTGTGTCCCCAGGTCAGGACCTCTCCGGTCCCCTACACAGGGAGGGAGCCCACCACCTCCTTACCCCTGCCGGGCTGAGGGATGCTGGGAGCTGCTCTGGCCCTGGCAACCAAGGGATCCCCAAGGACGAGTGGCCCCAAAGTTGACAGAGGGAATGTGTCCATGTACTCCTGCTGTGTCCCCAGCCTGGGTGTCCCTGGGAGGAGGATGGCTGTGCCCCCCCAGCCTTGCAGGCACCACCATTCCCCCTGACCCCCACCCTCTGTCCCTTCCCCAGCTGGAGGAGGAACAGCAGGGCCTGCAGAAGAAGCTGAAGGGCACGGAAGATGAGGTGGAGAAGTACTCCGAGTCCGTCAAGGAGGCCCAGGAGAAGCTGGAGCAGGCGGAGAAGAAAGCTACAGACGTATGTAGGCGCGCCAGCAGCTCCTCCCCTGCGCGGGCGCCGGACCTCAGGGGGGGGTGAAGGAAGAGGGGGGCCTTATATGGAAAGCGTCCGTGGAGAAGACTGTCAGGATCCCATTCCTGTGATGCTGACACTGAACTGGGCTGAGATGCAGGGCAGGGAGCGGACGGATCCTGCTCGGGGTGCGGGGGCCAGGCCAGCTGCGACGGGCACCGCTCGGGCTGCCAGTCCTGCCTGGAGCTTTGTGGGCAGCCGCCTGCCTGGCTCCCCAGAGCTAACAGGGACAAGTGTCCCAAGCTGTGTCACTGGTCCCCAGGCACGCGCCTCACAAGTGCTTGTAGGAAAAACTCTGTGGCACTTGATAAACTGTGGCAGGAAAGCAAAAAAGAGGAGAGAAATAGAAAAAGCTCTTGCCCATGGCCAGCTGCCGAGTGCTGGCTGTGAGGAAGGATGCTCGGGGTGTGTGGGGGGGACTCAGTCATTTTGGGGTCCAATGTGCGACGCTGTACCCTAGGAAGGGCAAGGCCAGGAAGAGTTTTATTTAGTGCTGTGACTGATGTTTCTCCTGGGAAATGGATCCCACTGGGGAGATGTTAGGAAGGTGTTGAAATGGGCTTGTGCCCGGCCAGGATGAAGGGTGGAACAGCTGTGTGTGGCCATAGAGCCGCTCAGGAACAGGGTATAACGACCTGTGGTGCCACACAGGGTATTTGACACCCTATAAATAAATCCTCCTTTTGATAGCCAGTCCTTCTTTGATGAAAACCAACCCTGGAAACTGGAGGAGAAGCTAAAGGGGAGCCGGCTGGAGCACGGCCAGCAGGGCACAGCCAGGCTTTTTAGGATTGAGAACAAAAAATTCAATCCCAGCTGGTTTATGGAGCTAAATGGGGGAGATGCGTCAAATCTCTGAGGTGGCCGCCAAGGACAAGGGTGAGCAGACAAGGACGAGCAGCGGCAGCACAAGTCCCTGGGGTGGCCTGGAGTCCCCGGGGAGTGGCTGGGGGGCTCCCCAGCGTTGTTTGCTGACCCTATGGACCTGCCCCAGTTTAGTTAGATAGTAAACCAAGTAGTTAAAACATTGACAATCCTCCGGAAGGGCACATTTATCTTGGCGTGGAGCAGGCACGTCAAGCTGGCTAGGGCGGCTGCCATGTGTAGCGGGGTCCATACTGGTCTGACTGGACCCATGCTGGTGCAGGGCAGGGCAAACGCAGTGTGGGGTCTGGCTGAGCGTGGATGGGACGTCCCCAGTGTGGGGCTCAGAGGAAGGGGCAAACGGTGGCACTGGGCAGACGTCAGCCATGGGGTGTGGAGTGGTTTGCTGCTGGCAGCAGGCTGTGCAATGCCGTCCTGGGCAGGGAGGGTGTGTGTCCCCGCTCTCAGTCCACAGCAGCTTGGCCAGTCTGCGGACTTCGGCACACAGAGTCCTGTCCCAGCGGATACGAGGGACGTGAACTACCGACCTCTCCGGGGAAGGGCTGGCAGGGGAGGCATGGTGAAGGAGCAGCGTCAGGGAGGGCAGGCTGGCTGCAGTGGGTGCCACAGGCAGGGCTGGGAGCCCATCACCAGCGCAGCCGCCCCGGCTCCATGCTGAAGCCTGGACAGGCTGCGCCACGCACGGGGCTCTGGGATTCACCAGGTCCCTGCACCAGGGACCTGAACATGCTGACAGCGCTAAGTGCCAGGGCTGGTGTCACCTCCTCCCCGGGGCAAGGCACACCGCAGCTCCCAGCTCCAATGAAGGAAGTGCAGGGTAAACCCTTAGAGCCCACCCGCCCGCCTCCCTGGCGACCCCTGTGCCCCCCTCGGCTGCCAGGACAGCATGTGCCTGTGAGCACAGAGTGTCCTTCGGCCAGGTCAGGGCCTATCGCAGCGATCCAGGCAGGCTCCTGCTCTCGGCAAAAATGTCAACAAATGCCTCAAAACAGTAAATCTCCCCCTGCTCTGGCACTGCCCTGCCTCTGGCACTGGGTGGCAGTGCACAAAGTCCTCGGGGACTTCACTAAGGGGTGCAAAGCGACCCCCTGGGCACTTGGAGGGGAGTCAAATGGTGGCACAGACCGGGGAGCGCCTGACTCCTGATCGGCAGCTCCACGTCACTGGCGGCCCCTTCCCAGCAGCTCTGCAAGGCCACCGTGGCCCCACCACCTCTTGTCCCCAGGAGGGACAGCCCACGGTGCCCACGGCAGGATGCGGGCAGGGGCTGCTGGGCACGGTGCAGCCGGGACAGCGGGTTTAGTCAGAGCAGCCCCCTCCAGCCCCCTGCGTCCCCAGCTGGTGGCCTGTCCTTGGCCACCCCAGTGGGGCCCAGAGAAACTCCGCCGTTCCCAGGCCATGATCCCGAAAGCTTCACCCAAGTTCCCGCCCCGGTTGCTCTCCCCTGCCGAGACTTTGCTCTTATTTGGCGATTCCCCGAGCCGGTGGGAGGGAACGGGGTTCTGCTGGGAAGTGACTGCATCCCTGGGTGGGGCCAGAGCAGGAGGCACCCAGCCTGGCCACCACGGGACCAGGGTGGCTGTCCCCCCAACCTGCCCCCCAACCTGCCCCCTGCCTGCCTGCAGCCAGCTGACCCCTGCCCCATTGCTGCCGGGGTCCCACATTTTCGCTCCGGGCCCCGTGCACCGGCTTGGGAGCGCTCTTGGCACCCAGGCGTCAGGCTGGGAGCAGGGCAGGACTGGCCGGGACCAAGGCCAAGCCCGAGGCCATGTGCTCTCTGGGGACCCGCAGTGCCGCCTCTTCTGATGCTGCTTGGCAGGGGGACGCAGGGCTGCAGGGCTCTGTCGGCGGTGCGGCCGGGTTCCCCCCAGGACCCCTGGCCCCAGAGCTGAGGGCAGCCATCGGGGTCAGCCCGGGAATTGACGTCCCTGGAGGCAGGTGTGAAGTGCAGCCAGGGCTGCCCAGGAGCTGTCAGAGCTCCTTAAGGGAGGATTGAGTGCCATCAGCGCCAGCCCCTCCTTATGGATCAGGGCATGTGCCCTGGCCAGGATGCAGAGCTCGGAGCTGGGGACTAGCGTCCCACACAGGGCAGAGCCCCCAGGGCAGCTGGGGGGTGCAGGGGGCTCTGTGGGCCCCATGGGTCTCTGTGGGGCTGCCGGCCAGTTCCTCACTTGGGGGAGCGGATGCCAAGGGGCTGACCAGGATGGCCTCTGGGAACCTGGCTGTGCCCGGGGCTCCAGCCCACCCAGGAGGGTGCCCAGGAGTGGGTTCTGCCCCATCTGCCCCGTGCGTCTCATTGACTTACCTATGGCCCCTATGGAGCAAAAGTCCAAGACCCCCCCTCAGCTCTGCAGAAGAGGGTGTCGGGGGAAGAGCTTGGGGAGCACACATGGGTACACTGCTCCTGTGCCCATGGGGGCTCACAGGGGCCAGGCTCTGGCACTTCCAGACTCCCTGGACCCCTTTTTCCCCAGGGAAATGGACTCCTGGGCTCCTTTCCATCACTCGGGGGGATTTCGATGGGACTGTGCACCCCTGCCAGGGGGGCACCATGCACCCTGCCCAGGGAGGGGACTATGTGCCCTGCCTTGGGGGTGGCTGTGTCCCGTATCCTGGGGAGCACTGTGTGCCCTGTCTGGGGGTACCATGTGCCCTGCCAGTGGGGACCGTGCTTCTGCCTGGGGGGGCACAATGCACCCTGCCCGGGGCGGGGGGACAGTGTGTCCTGCCCAGAAGCCACTGCGTGTCTTGCCTTGGGGGGGCTAGAGACAGTGACCCCTGCCTAGGGAGGACCATGCATCCTGCCCAGGGGGCCACCCTATGTCCTATTTGAGGTGGGGGGGACTGCGCACCCCTCCTGATGTGGGGACTGTCCCTTGCCGGGAGTCGGCACCGTGCATCCTGCCCGGGGGTCCGTGTGCGCTGCCCGGGGGAGCGGCGGCCCAGGTCGGCCGGTGGCAGCAGGAGGAGGAGGAGTAGGAGGAGGAGGAGCAGGAAGGGATGGAGGCAGGGCGGGCGGCGGGAGCGGCCGCTGCCTGAGCGCTTCCTGCCCGAGCCGGGCGGATCCCACAAAGGGCTCGGCGGCGCGGCCTCCCCGCCGGCAGCCCCCCGCCATGGGCGGCATCCGCTCCATCG